TGCTCGGCAAAAGTTCGTCGTAAATCCGATCTTGATCAGATAGTTTGGCCATCAGCAAATCTTGTTGGTGACAGAGTTTGTCGTGAAAAAGCTCGGCAGCATCGTCTCCGGAAGCGGAGTCATTTAAAATCGCAAGCTGAGCCATTAGTGCATACAGTCCATATAATATTGATATTGTACGAGTCTTGGTCCGAATCAAGAAGACACGGACTAGCTCTGCTGAGCAAGAGGTAAACAATGATGAGACATAAAGCGACAATCACTTCCAGCTTTTATCTTCAAAGCTGCCAAGTAATTTCCTATTGTGGTGCTGTCCTTGGATATGTAGATAGTCTTGAAAATGTCAGTGACCGACATTATTTTATCCGGGTTGTGCTATCGTATCTAATACGTGACGGTGTAACTAGACGCCGATACATCTTTCCCACGGAACGGGTGTTTGTGGGAGCATGGAAGTATCGTGTCATCCAGATGTCGCTAAGTCTTCTAAGGCACGTTAAATTATAATAAATGGGCTGGAAAAGCGGCTAGTGCCAGCTGAGTTACAACACAATCTAGCTAGTGTTAACGAAGATCTTCGTAAAAGCTTGACTGAGATCAGTTCGTGTACACTACGAACAAAATTTGCTGCATGTTGTATATCTTACATCTATGACATGGCAATCGCAGCTAACGCAAGACAATTTGAGAGATCAAGCAGAGCTCAGGAATTTGCTCAGAATGGAGAATTTGGACAAGAACAACTTTCCTTGGGATGGAGAATAAATTTATTCCGAAGGCGAAGACGTTGTTAACAAGACAGATGCGTTAAATTGACAATGTGCCCTGTCAAGCAAACCTGCCGGTTGCAGAGGCAGTGTTGGCCCGAGTAAGACGACGATACTGCAGTCGCCAAAGATCGAAATAATCAGGAACGATAAGCAGTCAAAGCCATACAGTCCCTTAACCCGATTTGTGCTTCACATCACCATCTGTACGCGCCCTGACGTGTCGTACGCAGTAACGCAGCTATTGCGGTTTTCTTAGGCTGTAAATTGTTGGCAGCATTGTTATCTAAAAGCGCGTGAGTTTCAGATATTTACAGTGGTAGCAATGGTGTCGTGCAAGTAAAAGATGTCCAATGGTACACTAACCTTGTCAACTACTGCTTAATGTCGTGCACCAGCTGCGGGTCCACTTTGATGATGAGAGAGGGATAGTGATTTTAGTTTAAATATCCAGCGCACAGTGGCGCTTAATTCGAGGGAGGTAAAAAAAAATGTTAATCAGCCATTGTTGTGGTCTATGGTAATCTCAAGGACGGTCATTAGCAATTGAGATCTGCGGACGTTTTTTTGTTTACCAGAGTGTTGAGATTGGTAAAAAACGCAGGGCGCAGTTCAAGATACAAGCATGTCGACAATTTGTTTACTGATTTTGATTTTAAAGAACATGACTCGAGTGGCCATCGACGTAACATGTCAACGTTGGGTCAGCAAGCGGACGTGCTGACTAAGGCGCTAGACACAAATTGATTACTTTTTTTCCAATGTCAGCGTATCCAGCAGAGCCATCAGAGCATTAGAGGCAAATAAAAGTTCTATACTATTGTATGCATACATCTTACCGTTTTGTGTACCTGTGAAGATGTTGGAACGGGTCAGGTAAACTAATAAAGACAGTTTATTATGAGTGATTGCAAGACCCTCATATATAGTATCAGACTACATAAGAATAATCGCAATGTATGTTTCACTCAAAATAATGTTGAGCAGCTTGTTTCTAGAATGTCTAGATTACGCTTATGTATGAAGCATCCGATAATAATCAGGTTGCGCTTGATATCGCGGACTCGTTGAACGAAGCTTTCAGAAAAAATGCTTTACAACCACATAGCGCTTCGCAAAACTTTAATCACCTCTACAGCTAGATATTCAAAGACTAATCAGATCCAATTCCGTGCATCGTCGAGAGAGTTTATGCAAGACGTAATACGGAATGTTTGATAACATGTCCTTAAGGTAACTAGTCGCACTTAGAAGCTTATGACCTTCTTATTTCTTTTGGGTTTTGGAAACTCGCGGTCTCAGGGTCCACATGTGATAATTTCTCACCTGGTGACGTCCACCAGTAATGTGAATGCACTGATGACGCACCTACAAGATCACCTCAGTCGAGCCTCAATAGAGACTTCACGAGGCTACTGATGCTGGGCGACCAATCAGCAGAGTCATTCCTTTTTTTGATTAGGCAATTTGTGGTTTGAATGAATGTGGACGAGGTTCAGACACGGAAACAGCTCGCTACATTTACAATCTACAAGCGAGATGACTGCCCGCGAGAATAAAAATCTACATGAAGTACCTTTGTTAAACTTCTTTCACAAAAGTGATTCCAGTACGGAAAGATTTGATGTGTCATATGTTGTGGGTGTTTGCATCGTCCAAACAGGCAACTGATTAGAGTTCATAGTTCTTCTCCACCCGTGAATACATGCCAAAAGTAGCGGAAAATGTCCACGATTAACAGCTCTTATCGCCGCAACGGCGCCAGACGATTTCCTCGAATCGATAATGGACACCATCTTTAAGCAGAATTTTTGTACAGTGCGGCTGGCGCCGTGACATTCCACGTCCACCCTATCCCTTCCATGTAATTGATGAGTGCTGTATTGCAGTTCAATTTAAATCTTCGTACCGCGAGGGTCAGATGAAGTAACAATATTGGAGGTGTTATGAGTCATTCCGCCAGAGGCAAAGAACTTCGAACATGTGACGGGTCACACGGCACCTTGTACAGAGGAAGGTTGACTTCCAAGAGTATACAAACTCTAAGTGAACGGCAGTTCACAGA